TTTTCTTTAATTATGCAATTTAAAATTAAACTGGACATAGTGAAAGTAGGAGAAGTTGAGAAGAGAGAGATAGGTGTGATTTAGTGAGATATTTGACTTTAGCGACTGTGTTGTTGAGTTATTTGACATTAGAGGTAATATAAAGAAGAAGATGACATTTTCTAGCAAAAAAATTTTGTGAAAAAGAATTTGAACCGTTAGATGAAAATGGATGAAGATTGAATTAATTTCGATCACTGTTTTGCTTTTACAAATGTGCAATTCAATTTATTAGGATCAATACTATAAAATCCAAATAAAACCAAAAAAATTACAACTCAAATGCATATCATCTCATTAATTTTTTCAATAGAACTCACTCATTAAACACTCATTCAAGGGATGATATGCATTTGAGTTGTATAATATTTTTTATTTATTAGAATCAAATATTAGATATATATAAATATATGTGTGTAGAGAGAGAGAGGGGGGGGAGAGAGAAAGAGAGATGGATTAGGGGTTAACGTGACATTCCCATCCACCCATGTGATGGTGCAACCTCTTGTGGTGCCCAGTTAGTTGGATGGATTCTGTCCCTCAGTCTACAAACAGATCATTGACCAGACCCTTGAACAGTGCCTTGGATGAGTGATTGGATATGCCATCCAGTTGTGTTGAACTGATCTGAATGCATAGATGTCCATGTAATTGAGGCTATGGGAACTCTAATAAGGGAGAATAGTATTATCTTGAATAGCAATTATATGAATTTGCGATATACACATCACAATCACCAACAAATCATACACATATAGTAAAACAAGACTCCTTTGGTGAGATTTAAACTTCAAATTAAAGATAGAAATATCTTTCAAGTTTGTACACCCGAACTATCCTAACAAACTAAAATTTTTATTTAAGAACAAAATTTTTGTCCTTTTGCAAGGTTATTCGAATCGTAAGTTACGATATCCAGGAAATAGTGAAGTACCATAATGAAAGCTCAAAAAGAAGAAAAAAAAGTTGAAGAACTGAAATTCTTAAGCATCCTTGTACTCTTGTTGGAATGAAAAGGTAAGTGTATAGTAACTCCGACCAAGTGATGAGAAAACATCGAGTGCATTTGTCAAGCTTCTTCCTTATTGGTATACTGTAGCAGTCCTATTCCTTATAAAACAGAAAAATAAATTTTTTTTGGTCAACAGAGAAATAATTACCGTAACTTGTTTTACTATATTTATAATTTTAGGATATACTTTGACATTATTAGTTTATTTTGATCCAATCCACAACCATGATATGATGTTCGATCAACTCCAATGGTAGTTCAATTGTTCAAGTGATAACAGTGACGAACTGTGAATTCAAACATCTTGAGTCCGAATTATGACAATACCTTAGGGTCAGGTGATGAGAAACTTATCCCACATGAATATTCTATTTTCGGCATTGATGGATTAATCGAGGTACAGATAAGTTGGCCCCCGAATGCCATTAGCCATTGAACTAAAAAATAAATAAATAAGATAAGATATTTGAATTTAATTTGTTGATTTAATTTATTAATACCGTTTAACTGGCAGATCGGATATAATTGTAACACACACAACAAATCAAAAGATAACAACAAGTTTGATCTGCAAATTATGTCTTAACCAACATTAGTCAATAATAATTTCTACATGGCCCCACCTTGTAACTCCAGCTGGGATCGATAACCTTTTTCCATTCAAATCAAAAGTTAATCACATATAAAAAACCTCATTTTCTTGTCCTTGTCAATCCCTTTTAATTCATTGTCTGAATGTTGTCCTTCAACTTTCAATGCCATGAGGAATTTTACACCCAAAATGGGCTCTTTTTACCCCAACTAAAAGACCATTAGAAACTAGCTAAGGACTTTACATAAGCAGTCAGGTGGGTAGGTAGGGGAGGTTGAGACCTAACTCTTTGAGTAGGTTCAGACTAATATGAGCATTAGTCCACTAACATCACAACTCTCATAATTTTTGCTTGGAGAAAAGTATATCCATGTTACAACGAGAGCCCTCTGAAAAAGAGTGGGGATCTTACCACACATCTCTCGTTAAAATATTTACTTTGATAGGTCATCTTAATTTTGCGAATTTTCAGTTATCATGACGGATTAATACTGTCGCTTTGGCCTTGTACGATCATTTGAATAGACATCTTTTTAATAGAGTGATTAAAAGTTCATTAAAGTTACTCGGTTTTAAATTTTTATTTATGTTTCTAGTTTTTTTTTTCTTTGTTCTAATGCATTAATAGGTGTCCTTGGGAGTACAGTAATATCTGTGGGGCAATGGTTTAATTATTGTCAGATACCATCTGAACCACAAGTATGAGGCTTATATTCATATGTGAGTCATTTCCAGTTTAAAATGAACATAGGACATGCCACCTCCCCCTTAGTATTCATTGTAAGATGGGCAATGAAATAGACTCATTTTCTATGCTATATACATTGAACTAAATTTAAAGTTAGGGATATGACTAAAAATGTTTTATATGAAAAGGTTAATAGCCTATGAAAAAACTTGTAGAACCCAGGTAAAAACCTAACCCAATCAAAGACTTCAAATGATATACTACATTGAGGTTAGCAGTTGGGTGGGGCTATCTCACCCCCACAAATCTCAATTCCCACGTCATTTAATTTTTTTATCAAACTATTAAGTTCATTTTTTCTATATCTATTCTATTAGTAATTAAGCTCACCACATGCTACATATACCCCCATTAATAGTTAAACTCATTTATTCTATGTGCACCTCTTTAATGAAAGAAATCGTTGTAAGAAAAAAAATAACAAAAGAAGACAATTAGTTTGAATGCATAAATATATTTACGAAACAAGAAATAAATAACAAAAAAGGAAACAAGTAAAAGAAAACATGCATGACGAAACAAGAAAAAACAAAACAAAAAAAAAGAAGAAGAAAGAAGTAGACCGAAACAAGAAAAAAGAAAAAAAAATGAAACAACAAAAAAAAAAGAAGCAAACCCAAACAAGAATGAAAAAAAAACCAAGCAAAACTAAGACTCAAAACCGAATATAAAACAAAAACAAGTATCAAGCACACATACAAAATCGAACAAGAAAAATAATAACAAGTATACATACAAAACCTTAACAAGATAAAAAAGAACAAATAATATAAAATCATACATATATACACACATATAAATTCTAAATAAAAAATTATTAAATTTGACAGAGATATCAAAATATACAAAAAAATAATGAAAATTCATATAACAAATATGAAATCAAACATAGAATTAAATTGAGAAGTAATTTTAATCTATATCTCCCCTGAAAAAATTCATATTAAAAAAATATTTTTGTTAGTGTATAAGAAGAGATAGAGAATGAAATGTTAATTATGACAAAATATAAAGTGAGTTTACTTTTTTAAAAAGATTTGTAAGATGAGAATAGCGTCAGTCTTAGAAGTTAGAGTTTCGATTAATAAGTATAATTTTCGCAAATCCAAAATTTATGTCACAAGAGTCTAATAAAGAAATGGTTAATTCTCCTTTGTCACAAAGTTGCAGATTTCCAAAATTTTGTACAATGGTGGTTGAACATTAAATAATTATACCATCTACTTCATAGTACAATATGGAATTTTTCCAAGCATGTAATCACATTCAGCAAAGGTAAAGTAAAAAAAAAAAATCCTTAACCAGTCAAGGTAATTCAAATTAGAAGGTCGGAACTATCTCAAAATTATAGGTTAAGCCTCAGTTAGCTTAATGTGTATGGTTCATCGGTGATTGCATGCATTTCAAGTTTGTCTTGCAATCAAGAGCCCAACAAAGGTATGATTTAAATCAACTCGGTGTTACCAAAAAGGTTAGAGATTCTTAAAACTATTCTGTAATAAAAGTTGAGGACTAAACAATTTTAATATTTGATTTCTGGGAAAAACAACTAGATAATGTCATATATATATTATGGATTGGCAAGCCCCAAAATGTAAATGAGTCTGCTGCTTTCATTTGAAGAAAAAGTTTGCCTATTAAAGAGGCAACACAACCCTAATCATGGAACTTGAGAAGAAGAAACTCCATTGAAAAGCAGAGCAGAGTTACAAGTTGCTTGAACAATACTCTCCAACACACTCCCATGATTGCTTTGGGCTTGGGACAAATTAACTATCCTGTGTAATTCCCCAAATGCCCCCGCCCACGCAAAAAAAAACACACAAAAAATCAACTCATCACTTCAGGAATTCTGAGGGCCACTGTAGCCCTCAGCTTATCTGAATTGACTGTCTAACCTACATACTTCCTCAAATTCCTCTCTAGTTCTACTTGTTTATTAATATAATATTTATAATCTCACATAAATAGACTTTATATTATTTTGGGTTTGCAGAACACAAAAATGAGATTATTTCGTTGTCTTGGAAACATAGAAAAAAACTTAGATGTAATCTTACGTTTCGTTACAATCGTATGAACTGTTGTTACAATTTAGAACCTCACACTAATTCAAATAGATAAGATCGTACGTGTTAGTATCTTAAATCTAAGCAAACTTTGACACGCCCATAATTCAAAAATATGTCACACAGTTCTTTAACTTTGTATTTGAAATCACAAAGAGATATTGTTATCTAGACTTTTAATGGCAATTCTAAAATTGTGATCACATTAAATTTTATAGTGGAAGAGCAGTGAATAATGGCCATACCTGAACTAGGCAAGGGTGAAAAGAAACTAAAGAAAAAGAAAAAAAAAAACAATTAGAAGGTGAGAAACGAAGTAAGTAGGCCTATTTTAGTAATATCCTCTAAAATAAGGCGCGCATTACCTCAAAACGACCTCGTCCACACACGTCAACTTCTTAAACGTTGTCGTTTATGTCAATTCGGTAACAAACTGAATATTAGCGGTTATTGCAATCTCCTCCTCTTTATAAAGCAGAGAGATGGAGAGAGAACAAAGTCCTCATGTGTGTCAGACTGCCACAACTAAAGCTAAACCACCTCCGCCGCCGCTCTAATCCGGCAATGTTGCTGGAAATATCGACTTCGCCACCACCAAAATCTGCTTGATACTGACCATTCGCCACCACCATCATCATTCTTAACCTCTCAACAACAATGTCACTCTCCAAACAAAACCAAGCGGCCTCAACTCGAGAGCTCAAGCACCGAGTCCTCACCTGTCTCCACAAGCTCTCCGACCGCGACACCCACTCCGCCGCCGCCGTGGAACTCGAGTCGATGGTCAAGACTCTCTCTCCGGACACTCTCTCACCCTTCCTCTCCGCTATCTCCGCCACCGACTCCGCCGACAAGTCCGCCGTCCGCAAACAATGCCTTCGCCTGATCTCTCTCCTCTCCGAATCCCACGGTAACTCCATCTCTCCATTCCTCCCAAAACTCCTCTCCTCCATCATCCGCCGCCTCCGCGACTCCGACTCCTCCGTCCGCTCCGCCTGCATTTCAGCCACCGCTTCTCTCTCCTCACACTTAACAAAACCTCCATTTTCCTCAATCATGAAGCCCTTTGTCGACACTTTAGTCACTGAACAAGACCTAAATGCTCAAATCGGAGCGGCTTTGTGTTTGGCGAGGGCAATTGATGTGTCAGACGATCCAGAACCAATGTACTTGAGGAAGTTGGTGCCGAGGATGGAGAGGTTGCTGAGGAGTGAGAGTTTCAAGGCGAAGGCAGCGTTGTTGACCCTGATTGGGAGTGTGGTTGGAGCTGGCGGAGCAAAGAGTCAGCTTCTGGTGAAGAATCTGGTGGCGTGTTTGATGGAGTTCGTGCGCAGTGAGGATTGGGCGGCCAGGAAGGCCTCTGCGGAGGCGTTGATCACATTGGCAGTCGTGGAAAGGGAAACCTTACCGGAGTTTAAGGCTTCGTGTTTAAAGACTTTTGAGGCGAAGAGATTTGACAAGGTTAGAATCGATTTGAATTGAATTGAATTGGATTGAGTTCTAAATTTGTGGATTGGTTTTGTGAGTGTTCAATGTGTGTGTGTGTGTGAATTTGTATTGACTGATATGATTTGTATAGGTGAAGATTGTGAGGGAGACGATGAATCAGATGGTGGAGGTTTGGAAGGGGATTCCTGATTTTTTAGAGGAGATCTCGCCGCCTCCTGAATCACAATTCTGTTCTAAAGGTAATCTAATTGCTAACTAATAAATTGTTTTAAGCGTCCATTGTTTGATTGAAATGAAGATTAAATTATGTGTTCATGAAGCAAATTATGAGTTCTTGAGATGTGAGCAGTTAGATGAAGCATATAGCTTCAATTCACAATAAACACACATATTAGGGGCTCATATCTATTTCAACCAGAATTATTGCAGATCCGTTTTTGTCAGTCATTATCGTCATTCTTCTTGTTTATTTAGTTCAATCGATGGATTTGTAGGTTTGATCCATATTTTCAGTTGTATTTTTGTTTTTGTGTCTTTGTTGCTACATTCCCTTGCCTCCTAGTTATATATTATCTGCCAGGTTTTGCTGCTAAACTTAAAGTTTTATCAATATAATTTCCATTGAAGTTCTAATTCCTGTCTAGATTACTCTTATTGTTAATCCTGATTACTACAGCATCATTTGGTAGCATTTGTATGAAGTTGTTTATTTGTAAACTTATTGTTTCTACTACGTTATGGTGATAGAGGATGCTAGTGATGGGCACTGTCCGCCTGGCTTGAAGATTTCCTGCAATATTAGCTCTGGTACTCCTCAAGTAAAGAGAAACATCGTCCTGGCTGACAGATCACCTTTGCCTGATGGTTCTTCTACTGCTACAACAAGGAGGAGGAGTCTTCTCGACAGTAGTGACAAGAGAAAAGGTCCAGCAATGTTCCGAAAGCTGGACTGTAAGAAGCCCACAGGTGGGAAAGTTAAAATTTCTGCTCCTCATGCGCCTTTGAGGGCAGTGGTTGGTGAGGATGAACCAGGGTCTGGAGACGAGAAAACACAGGAGAAAGTTGACAAGGATAGGAATGGGTTTCAGAAGACGGAAATGACAAGACGTGCCCTTTTCAGTAAGATCTCTGATGAGAAAATACACAAATTCTGTGGATCTCGTGTTGTTCCATGTAATGATGAGAGTTCAGAATCTATTATCGTTGTTAATAATGTTACCGGAGATCTCAGTAGAGGCCATAAAGAATGTGAGGATTTATCTTTGATCCGCAAGCTGCTTGTGCAAATTGAAAATCAGCAGTCCAATTTATTAGATCTCCTCCAGGTAATCTGCACATCCTTGCCAATTAGGCTTACTCATCTCACAAGTTTGTGATGTCAATTTTTTGCTGCAATAGAATTGTCAAGAGTTCTGTTTTAAAGGCCCATATGATATAGAAACAATATTTAATGTTAGAATGTTGCATAGTGCCAGACAGAGAATCTCATCCAATAAACTCCTTTGCTATATGGCACTAATCAGCTGCTTAAGCTCAGAGCTCAAGCATGCCAAATTTTATTGCCCTGATCATCCTTCCTGTCACCTCTAGATAACGAAAAGTGTGTGCGCCTTGTTATCCTCTCGTGATCATTCATAGTATACATTAATAAGTTGCCAATATATCAAAATCTGAGTCGATCCCTCCATAATGTGAACTTCATGAATTATTAATAATATAATGAATGCAAGATTCTTGAAGTTAGTCTGAAAATTTCCTGATTTGAAACCTATCCAAATTATTTTGGGGCAGGAATCTGTCATATACTAACTTGTTTTTAGGCTTACCATTTTTTGGCTTCTAATGCTGAATTAGTTTGAATTTCAAATTGTTTCTAAGAAATGGTGGCATTCATTTGAACTGATATTATGCGCTTGGCTGGAATGAGATGCTGCTTCAAAGCCGAATGTCTTATTGTGTAATGCATCTGCTTTCTGATCTTGTCAGTGTACTCATAGATAGTTGCGGTGTTCAATATACATTGTAATGCCATTAATAATTCTAGTGATTTAACTCATTCTCTTACTATTATGAGGTCTTTTTCTCACATTTTTCAGCAATATTCTTGTTCTAGGGATTCATTGGGAGCTCACAGAATGGGATGCATTCTTTGGAGACACGTGTTCATGGTCTGGAGCTGGCGTTGGATGAGATCTCATATGACTTGGCTGTGTCAACTGGAAGGATGTCAAATCCGAACTCTGCAACCATGTGTTGCAAGCTACCTGGTGCAGAATTTTTAAGCTCTAAGCTCTGGGGAAGAACAGAAGGTCGGTTTTCAACGTCCCGGTTTTCTTCCAGTGGAACCCCATCAGTGGCTGCCATGCGCAACAAAACCGATAAGAATGGAAACAATGAGACATTTAACCTGGAAAATAGGAGATTTCGGCACCAGGGTGGTGGTGGTGGGTTTATTGTGAATCCACTGGCTGACATCAAGTCCCAGGGGATTTCAGAGATTACATCAAATAGGGTCTCAAAGAATGTTCCTGATGGCGTATAAAATGCCATAGCACATCATCTACCAGAGTTACCAGCAGGTACTCTATAATAAATTGCATACTGGTCCTTAATTATGTGTTGCAGTCTCATTTTGAGAATATAATCTAGCAAAGGCTAGTAACAGCTTAGATTTCAGGATAACACTGTCTGAAGCGTGGTCTCCTGCCTTGATAACAGTAAAGAGGAGGTCCAGGCACAAAGCCTCACACCAGGCTCTATTAAATGTCCTTTCACTTTCCTAACCATATCAGAAACCTCATCACAATCATTTGTTATGGATAGACAAACAAGAAGGGCAGGCCATTGATTCGTTTTCTGGTTACTTTAGGCTTTTCTTTCTAAACAATCTTCGGCTTTGCTCTATCTTACTGGCACAGTAGCTTACCACGTAACCACAAATGAAAAAAAAAATGGAGGAACAAGGCATTAGCATTAGGAAAAAAAAAACTACAGCCTTCTTTCTTTTCTTTCTTCTTGGAAGAGATCCCCCTTAATCCCAATGGAGCTGGAGGTCACAGTCCAGTTCCCAATCAGGGCTCATGGAAATTTTTTGCCTATGACCGAGGAAACAAAAGGGAAAATAAGTAAGAAAAAACAATGAACTGTTTTGACCAACCTCGGATCAGGCCATGACATAATTTAAAGGTTGTTCTTATCAAATTTTCAACCAAGACTGTCTAAGACTTTTTATCTTTTTTCCATTCATCAGGTGAGCTGTATATATCAGATAGAAGCTGGAGTTATAATACTCATTTTAGCTAAGTAAAGATGCGGATTGGAGTTGGAGCTTGATTATAAAGTACATAATAGAAGCGGTTTCTTTCAATGTCGCCTATACAAGTATACGTTTTACAGGTATGGTTGAGCCAATTCATTCAAATCTCTCTTTGAGCTGATCCACTTCATTCAGGAAGTTCTAATTAGAGTTAAAGATTAGTATTTCAACTTTCATTCATTTGTTTCTTCAATTACAGTATGGATGCCTGAGAGTAGAAGAAAGCTCACTACAATTTGAAGGGGAAAATATATAGAGAAGCAGTTGTTTGGACATTTCATCTCACTTTGTGACTGGGTTTTTCGATTTATTTCATGTTGGCTAAATATTATTGGTTCAAAGTGAATACAAAATATTTGTTCATGATGGTTTTGAGCATGTGTTTATAATAAGATTGGATCTTAGCGTCGGTGATGTTCAAGTTAGAGGACCACCACACCTGCTTATTAAGAGAGCAAGGTGTTGGGGAACATCAATACTCTAGCTTTACCTGTGGGCCTTACGAATAAGTTGGTGTGATGCACTATCAAATATGATGGCATGTTTTTGTGTGTATAAAGTAAATATACATATATAAACATGTGTTGGTTGGCCAAAAAACAAAAGATTGACTAACTGGAATGGTTGGGTTTTTAGACCTATTAAATCTATAATACATTCTCAAGACGAAATGGGGTGTAGGCATGTTTATCGGAGGAGTTGGAGAGAATACTGGCCGATTTCTTTTTTGGATTGTTAGAAAAAGGAGCTTGGTCAGCCACGTCCCAACCTACCCTCGTGTTATCCCCATGATTCACATTGCACCTATTCTTCGCAATTATTGGTTCAGATCTCTCTCGAGTACGAGTACTATACTCAAATCTCTCAATCAGATACTATTTTTTGGGTTTATTTTTCACTTTATAGAATAGAATTTACTACTTTTTGGAATTTTTTTTTTTAATTTTTCAGTATGATATCAATATTTTATTTTTAAGGTACGGTAATGTTTTCCATCTTCATGTAAGATTATCAATGTCTTTAACACATTTCCTAAGGTGGTGGGGGGAGTCACATAAATACAAAAGAAAACATTTTTTTTTTGAACTGGCAAAAGAAAACAGGTTCAAACACAGGGATAGCAGAGCTAAGAATATTCCCAAAAACAATCAAAATTAAAAAACTATTACATACAAGAATTTCCATTTCATTGCCCGTGGATGAACCCGACCCAAACTTAGTGAATTAAGATTGATCAGTTCATAGCATAAACTACTAAGAATGACGCGATCTCGAACACCAAATTGGCCCGAGTTAACATTAAACAGGAATGACCAAGTTTTAAAACGATTACGCAAAAAATTTTGGATGTTTTTTTTTTTTTTCTGATCTGGTATTACCTCTTAAAAAATATAAGTCGAGAAATTTTTTCTTGGTTTTGTAATTTCTTATTCACAAGTTACAAATATAAAACCGAATATGACACAATTAAGAAGCAAATTAGATTGGTATCAAAATCATGTAGGAGTCATTAAAAAGATCAATTTGAGATTGTATAGTAAATGCACGAACTCAAAATGACACAACTCGAGCACAACATAACAAGACTCAATTGCCAGTTTGCCACCACCATCTACTTATCACTCAGTTTCCTTCAAAATAATTCGTTTACTTCCCATTCTCCTCAATGTGTTAAGAGTTGATCACAAACACATAATGAGCATGTTCATGCTTTTAATAAGTGGAAAACGCACGCCCACAAAGCTTATATCAGGCCAGGAAAGATCAATTGAGCACAAGCAATAACCGGCGAACCTACTACTCCAATGAAACTGCAAATGAGCTATAGGGTTATTTCACCCAATAACAAGCAAATAAGAAATTTCACAAAAATAAAGACATTACAGGTAAGAAAATTTTGCCACAAACACAACCCATCTAATTGGAAAGGGCTACATAACTCTTGAAACAACATTCCAGCAACAAGACAGGTCCACCTAATTCAACGTTTCGCCAATAAGCAAAAGAATAGAAATGATATATGCTATATGAACATTCAAATTCAAAATTGAACCAGACCATGTTTAGTTCTAAAATTACGAACTACCAAATTTCAAAATGTTCTCTTGAATTCAAGTTGTATTGTCTGGACCATTTATGAGCTATCACCCCCACTAAATGGAACACATAGATGCCCCCATGTTCCTAGTGCAAATCCAAGGAACCAAAAGTCCAAATAGGATTTGAGGGTTGCAGATAAAAAATCATTGTGGCTTCTGCTCATTTGACCCTTCCTTGTCCATCTTCTGCAAAATGGCCAAACATCAGAGCGCTACCAGCAGAACAACAATGACAGGACACTGAGCAAAATAAGTCAATTGTCACAGGATTGAGCAACACTCCATGATTGCATAAAAAATGACCTGCTTTACAACTCTCAGTCGAATCCCTAGGACCTTGTCAAACAACACAACGACCCTCCTGATATTTTTTGCAAAATGGCATGCGACCCTTTACTTTTGTTAAGTTATAAGAAGACCTCCTCAGTCCCCTGAAAAGATTACTTCGGAAACTAAAATCTAAACTGTCAAGATTATAGCCTTTATTCGTTGTCAAAACAAAACAATCCAATTTTTCCTCCATTGAGGCAGCTCCCCAACCCCCAGAATGCGCACCCACCCATTTGTTCTCCCCTCCCTCCACTCCCATCTATCATCTATGCCTTCCCTAACCCCCCCCCCCCCCCCCCTCTTTTTTTTTCTCATCTACCCATCCCTTCTCCCCACACTTCCCAATTGCAAGCCCCCTCTCCCCACCCATGTCCTCTTTGACCACCCCTACCCTCCCACACACTAATGTCATTTGGTGTAAAAGAAAGATTTATTCCATTGGATTGTGAAATTGAAGCTTTGGAGTGGGACTCTAGGAGTTTTGAACTTGATCCACGCACATGGTTCTGTTGCGAAGAAATCAAGATTACTTTGTTGTGTTACAATGGCGGTGGGTTTCAAAGAGATGACTTGCTTGAATTTATGACTGTCGTAAGTGAAACTTCTGGGTGCTTGAATTGTCTCTTTCTTCTCTCAAACCATTTTCTGGATGTGAATTGCTTGATGTTTTTGTGTGTGCATGCATGTTTTTTGTACGTCTATCTCAGGTTTCTTTGTCTGTGCGAATGATGTACCATCCGTGTTTTTCTATTTTCATTCAACCCACAGCTTAGCTAGAAAGTGAGCTTGCACAAGGCCTGCAGGTTGTGAACCACATACTAAGTCTTTAGTCTGGATATGTGCTTCTGTTTATGCATTCATGTGATAGTGTGGGGTTTCATGTTGAAGGCAACATTGGTGCAATGAGACGGAACTGTGTTGGTGGGTGTTTAGGCAGCTGGTCCCCGTGCCCGTGGGGGGAGGTGGGGGTGCCATAGAAGGGGGAGGCTTGACTGAGATTTTTCATCAATATTGACTGAGATTTGAATGGTGATTAAGTCATTTCACACTTAAAAATCTTGAATAGGGATCTCCATGTCATTTTGCAAATGTCTAGGGATCGCCATGTTATTTGACAAATCCCAAGGGGCATGAGTTAAATTTATTCTCACAATAAATACCCTTATAACAAATACCGCATACAGAGAAATTCCCAGCAGTACAATGCAAATATACCACTGGAAATGTAAACCACATCACAAATCTATTCTGCTTGATACAAGTGCACACCACAGCTATAAGAAGTCACCCAATGGACAAGCAAATAGCTGATGTTCTGTGGTAAAAGGAAAGATATAAAAATAGTTGATATACTATTTACAAACCAGTAAAAAAAAAATAACACTTATTCATTGAAAAAATTCCTATAAAGGGAGGGTAATACTTATTTGAAATTCAGGTGATGCTTGATGGCCTATGCTAAATACTTTAAACATTCAGGTTACACAAAACATAATCCCGATATAGAGCTGTTCTCTGCAAAATCAGGAAAAAAATTGCAATAGCATAGGTAGAAGATACCATGAACTGAAATGGGAATGAATGGCGCCCTCTGTAATTCTACTATCTACCAAGCTGGTTTGCCAAGGAACTCTTTGTGATCAAACTTATCTCCACCCGCAGCATTAGAATGCCAGAGGCTCAAAAACCATATCTGTTGCAACTATTTGAATATCAAACAACTCCTCCGACAATGAGAAGGTAGTCCAAACTACAGTGACATAAGAAGTACATCTATAAAAAACACCATTCATGGTTAAGTCTCCAAGTTTGGCAAGTATTAACTTCTATGGATTACTGTCAGTAAAGTCTCCGCATTAAGATACCTCTAAACCTGATCACGTTAAGTGGCCAAATCCCACTCAAGTTTGCAATCCTTCAGCTTAAAGATAAGGAACAATTAGGGCCTCACTACCTTAAGTATTAACACTAATGGTTCACGCCCCCCTCCCCCCTCCCCCACCCCAAAAAAATATATATATTAACACTAATGGTTAGAAATTAGTGAAGTCGCCGCATTGGGATGAATAAGGAGGAATATAATATAATCTACTGAATCGAAACTACATATCCGTAAACCTAATCATGAGTAAGGCCAAATCCAACTCAAGTCTACTATTCATCGGCTTAAAGCAATTGAACTTAATTGAACACAAAAATGTTCAAATTCGACATGAAAAAATGAAAAAGCACATACAAAAAGAACCAACAGCTAGAAAACTATCAAATACACACACACTAACAGATTAATATGGAGTTTGGGGGTTACCGATTGGGCGTTGTGCCAAGCGAGGCCGCGGTAGACGTTGACGGAGAAGGTGGCGGCGAGGTAAATGGTGGCGACGCCAAGGCCCGCCGTGAAAGCCTTGAAGGCCCAATCCCCTGCTTTGCTTGCCATTCCCATTTTCTCTCCTGCTTCTTCCGTGCTCTTCTTCTTTTTCTTCTCTGGAGAGGAGAACTAACATTTACCAAATTGAGACCTGATGGCGTATAACCACGTTGACGATCAAAAAGTGTATGTGACGTATGATGACCATGGAACAGAGCTATAAACCTCGTGTGATACTGCTGTGAAATATTGAGAGAATTAAAAAAATGTATATAATAAAAATATAGTGGTTCAGCTCGATTAGTCCACTTTTCATCGGAGGCTCTTCCTCCTGTTATTTTATTTACTAGACAAATGCATTACAATTTGGTATATCTCGAAATTAGGGTTTTTTTCTTCATCATGCTTCTCTATGGAGGCGCTACATAGTATTTATAGGACTATTCTCTGTTCTGTAGGATCTTAGCTGAGATCTTCGTCTGTTATTAGTGGGATTCTCCTTGATTTTAGGAGAGAATCTTGGTTGGTTGAGAGTTTCATGTTTTGAATCCAATTTTCGTAGTTTATCCAACTGTTCCCTGATCAGTTCCGCTACTATCTCCCCAGGGGGAGCTTTAGCTCTGGACTTCTGAGCTCCTCGTATTCTACCTGACCTGACCTCGTTTCCTGAGCTTACTCTTATAACTTATTTGAGGTATCATCAGTTGTCCCCCAGCCCCTGGTTCAAGCGAGCTTGGGCAGGGGTTGAACTTTTTTTAAACCCAGTTGGGCTTGCACGTGATAGATGCCTTTTGGACGATTTTCAGCAATCATGACTTCCTCGATTCCCGCACACATTTCAGCCCGCGTCTCTCAAGCTTTAAATACTCTATCAGAACCGCCATTTTCCACTATTTGGTTTTTTAGTTGTCTCTCTCTTCTTGCGGTCTCTTGGCTTTCTGGTTTGAAGTTTTCCGATTCTTTATTCAAGATCGAGTTTTCTGGGTTCGATTTGAAGATTCGCATTGCCCTCCTTCTTCAATTTCGCTCTAGGCTGTTGCTCTTTCCTAACTAGGCACGCCTCTTTTGCCCCTTTTTCGCCTTTTCTCGTCCTGGATCCCTCGAGTTTGAGGTAGTCATTGCATTTCTGGGCTTTTCGGTTCTTTTATCTGTAAAACCGAAACTACTGCTTGTCTTTGTTTCCCCACTTCGTGGATTGGGCCCCTATCGTGTGAATTCTCGCTGTTGGAAGCTACTGTGTTGACCCTAGGGTTATCTAAAAGTGCCTCACTAGTATCCCTCACCTCTACCGTTCTTTTAATTTATCTTTCTCCTGTCCAATCATGTATACCCCTTCCAGAGCTACTCGCTCCCCTGTTTCTCTCTTGGGAGAAAGGTCTGTCGAAGAGGATACTAATTTAGGGGATGTGGACGAGAAATCGACAATTTCCCCAATGTTGATGTTGTCGACGCCAAGGTGAATATTGAGGAACCTCCTCCATCGTCTTCTTCTATGCCCCCTAATCCTAACAAAGGTAAGGGCAAGGTGAGTGGAGTAGGAGTCTCTGACAGCGCAGCAGGCACAGGGGCTACCTTTTGGCATGCTGAGCTCGTAGGCCCTAGTGAGATTGACCATTCTCTTATGAGAATTTTCAGTGGTTGTTACGGTTTTCCTCCTGGTGTCTAGATAAATTCACCTCATACGTTGCCCAGGTACATAAGAAAGTCTGTTTCTTCGTGGCCGCTTTTGAGAATGGCCTTCGTTTCCCTATACACCCCTTCATCAAGAGTGTTTTGCAACACTTCAACGTCTGTCCTGCTCAACTCTCCCCTAACTTCTGGGGTATTTTAGTGGGTCTCCTAGTTTTATTTAAGAAACATGAACTCAGGATTCCCAGCCTTTCCTTGCTCGTGGATCTTTTTAACATCAAGCTCACCTCATCTAAAGGTTTCTTGTATATCTCCAAGCGAACCACGGCTAGACAGTTCATTACTCACCTCCCGAGCTCCCATAAGGGTTGGAAAAAACAATTCTTTTTCGTTGGGGGCACCAACTGGGAGTACAACCCTACTGATAGGACTGATACTCTTGGTATCCCTAGAGCCTGGTCCACCCCCGATAACTTAGGTGAGTCCTTGCTCGAACTGACTGAGTTCTGATTTGAAAATTATCGAGTTGCCTTTTTGACATTTTCTCTCCTTGTATTATTTTTCAAGCATTCGACCTGAGCTTAGTGCTGAGGACGAGAAGGTGAAGCGAAAGTTGGAGAAGTGTAATCCAGAAAAATACTCCGAGCTCATCAAGCCCTAGGTTCTAGTAACACAGGGATTTAGTCCTCCTGAGGTATCGATAGAAGCTCCGCTCCCCATTTTTGTTGTTAGACCTGAAGACGTAGAAGGTAACACTTTTTGAATTGATTTCTGTGTCTTCCCTTCTTTTTCCTTTTTTCTGTTTAACTAGCTCGGTTCAGATCTTCCAGATTCTTCCATAATGAAATCTACTCCTGAGGAACTTCAGGCTAAGGTTGACCTATTGAGGAAGAATAGGAAGAGTAGCAAACGAAAGGCTGAGATCAACTTTGGAGGTAGCCTCGTTGACAGGGCTAAGGTGCAAAAGCTGGGAGTGCTTTTTTCTCCTACCTTGAGCAAAGAAGAACAAACTCCCTCATCTCAATCCCCGACAACCTCCTCTCTTCAAGGGGCCCAGCTTGCTCCCAAAAAGGCTTCTGAGCCAAGGCTGGTTTTCCCCACCTCTTCTAAGGTTGAGGGAGCCTTGGGGCTGATTACTGGAATTCAGTCAGACTCCATTCCTCCTGGACCATCTGAACGACCATCCCAGCTACCTCTCCGGAGCCCCAAAGTTGAAAAGAGGGAGGACCGAGAAACTGATGAAGACTCCTTCTTTGACAACGCTGAGTTGGCTGCTGGGGTCATTTCATCCATTCTTCCTGAATTCGATATTCAAAGGGCCTCTACCATGCCCCCTGAGGCCTTTTTCGGCTCAGCTCTCCAAGGAGCAGCCACTGTAAGTGTTTTTACTCTCCCTCTTAGCTCGGTGCAGTTGACTTGTGCTGATCTGTACTTGTTTTCTTTTTTGCCCCCAGATGGCTCTCCATTTGAAGAGCTTAATGGGCAGGGTCCGATCTTCGAAGGACTCTGCTAAAGCATTAAAGACATATGAGTTTAAGGTCGCTGAGCTGACCTTTGACAATGAGAACCTCAGAGCTTAGGTGCAAGAGCTCAAGGAATAAATGGAGAAGCAGGCCTATAACCTTGAAGGCTTTCAAGCAGCCAAGGATAGGGCTGAGGAAAGAAAGAAGAAGGCCAGAGATGAGCTGAGGATGACCAGGGAAAAGCTGCTACTCAAAACTAATGTCTGGACCAAAGCTAGCCAGGAAGCCTTTGATGTTTGGAGTTCCCTCGAAGGCCTTAAAAAGGAGTATGTCATCTTGGTTGAGGTGAACGAGAAATTATATAGTGAGCTCGAGGTGCAGAAGACTACTGTCAGGAAGAGGGACGATATAATAGCCGAGCTGAAGGATGATATCACCACCAAGTGGGCCTCTGGATGGCTGGCCTTTCAACGCAAAGTGGAGAAGACCTATCTAGACCTCGACTTCGACTTTGTCATCCCCACTGAGGAGGAGTTGGAGGAGACTGACTCAGAGGGCGATGACAGCACCTTGGCTCCTACTACTTCTGATAGGGCTTTGGAAGGTACTGAAATGTCTACTCCTCCAGCTGTTCCTACTAATACCTCCCTTTCTACTGACCTTGTGACGAGAGCTCTGGCTGAGATTAAGGCCCCTGCCTCCTTGCCTGTTCGTGGCCCTTCTGAGATTTCAACTACTGTCTTGCCAAAAGGGTCGCCTATTGAGCTACCGAGCTCTTTTTCTGTTCCTGTTGCTGAAGCTACAGTAACTGCATTACAGGACCCTTCACCTGCTCTTTCTTCAAAAACTTAGGATCCTTTATTATTTTTTGTTGGAAAGCATTTGCAACTTCTATTGGAGAATTTAAATTTGCCCTAATTTCCTGACTCGCCTTTTAAGTCATCCATGTGAAAGCTAAACATATTTGTTTTTTTTTTTTTTGAAATTGCTCAACACAACCTAACTTGCTCTTCAATACAGTCTACTCTGCTCAACACAATCTAACTTGCTCTTCAATGTAGTCTACTCTGCTCTTCTCAGATCTGTTCTTATTGTTCTGTGGTTTAACCTGCTCATTTAAACCGCCCTGTACTCCCCTTGCCCCCTTGCTTTGAGGAGTATTCAGTTCTCCTTAATAGCAAAATTGTTATTGAGACTTTCATTCCCTGAGGGTTTCTTCCTACTACTTAGTACCGATATTAGGTGCTTTACCGTTTCCCTTGGTGAGAAGAGGTTTGCTGGATTTGGCAAAGAGATTAAGCAACTTGATACTGAGGTCTTTTGAGCTCTTTCCCCTGTATATCTGTATCTTAATTTTTAGGAGCCGAATAGCTCGTCTTGATGAGCTGAGACGCTTGCTGTTGTTTTATGAGCTGGAGAACTCATTGCAGGTCTATAAGATGAAGAGCTCTTCTTGTTTTCTATGAGCTGAGAAGCTCATCCTAATTTTATGAGTTGAAGGACTCATCTTGGATTTATGAGCTAAGAAGCTAATCGTAGCCTTATGAGCCGACGAGCTTATCTTAAATTTATGAGTTGAATAACCCATCTTTGGTTTATGAGCTGAAGAGCTCATCTTGATTTTATGAGCTGAGGAGCTCATCGTAATTTTGTGAGTTGAAGAACTCATCTTAAGTTTATGAGTTGAAAAACTCATCTTAAGTTTATGAGTTGGAAAACTCATCTTAATCTTATGAGCTGAGGAGCCCATCTTATTTTATGGGCTGAATAGCTCATCTTTGGTTTATGAGCTGAAGAACTCATCTTGATTTTATAGGTTGAGGAGCTTATCGTAATTTTATGAGCTGAGGAACCCATCTTATTTTATGGGCTGAATAGCTCATCTTGATTTATGAGCTGAAGATCTCATCTTGATTTTATGAGCTGAGGAGCTCATCGTAATTTTATGAGTTGAAGAACTCATCTTAAGTTTATGAGTTGAAG